TATATATATATATAAGGGCGAAATTAGATACAATACACGGTCATTGGCCATCACCGTCCTGGAACACACAACGCACGTGGCTTTGCCCCAAGGCAAAATGGGTTAGCTACAGACCTGATATATATATACATACATATCATTAGCTCCTGGCTAAGCTCAGATGATGATTTTATTCTTGTATTCCAAATTCCTAGGAAGGTGTAAACTCCTCACGAAATAAAAAATCGTATGCATGTACATATGCATATGTAGGATAAAGTTAGGCTGAAGCGATAATTGTGTTTTTGTAATTTGAACCCGTTTCTGTAAATTGCAACTTTGTTCCATTATGTATTGCAGCCATTATTGGGTTTACAATTATAACATAAGTTTATATTTTTATTTGGTTCCAAAATGTGGGGGCAGCTACCAACCTTGCCATGCACATCTCATTCGGCCATGCCTCTGGCTTTTTAAGCGCGTAAGATCGGCTGACAAGCATTGTCTTGTAAAAAGTCCGTATGATAAGTCGTCAGCATTGTGTGGATGGCGAGCGACCCGCGCGCCATTGCTCATGTACTTTAGCATAGCGGCAGGGAATGGCGGGATGCTGCAGCAAAAGTGAAATTCTAAAATAAGCTTTAACATGCACATCCACTTCGAGCATGTTCCCTTTTTTAGGCGCGTAAGTTTGGCTGAAAAGCATTATCACAGACTAAGGAATACACATACTGGACACTTCCTATACCCTGCTTGTTAAAACATGTTTGATTTTGAACCGATTATTTGGACGCGATTTTGTGGTGTGCGCGTGACCTCAGGAAAATCGTGTGCGATAAATATTGAACAGCCAATAGCTGAACGTGCCCGTGTCACATGACATTCACCTTGCAGAAATTATCGTAGGTGTTCCCCGCACACCTACATCGCTTCATCGTTTCATCGTTTCATCGCTTCATCGTTTCATCGTTTCATCGCTTCATCGTTTCATCGTTTGTAAAAATCGGCTGGTGTGCGGTGGCCTTAAGTGGTTTGATGGTTCTGCCCTTGGCGAATGAAGCGGCCAACTACTAAAATTGGCATCGGTTCAAAGCCATTGTGGTTACTACAGTGCAGTAAACGACTGCTATATCTCAGAGAAAAAACCGCCAGATTTGCCGTTCTTCAAATCTCCCACAGAGCATGTTAGGTACTGAGTTTTGCTTACGGATACATTCAGGGTTATAGGTGAAATTTTGTCAAAATTTCAATACCCATTATGTTTGATAAATGTAGATAGAGCACGCGTATCAATTTTGATAGCGCTCTGACCAGTGTAGATTATTATGTATGTGGTCTGCCAAACCAGATAATATCAGGAGTGTATAATAATAGATAATAATATAAACTTCTGATAATATGAGTAAATGTTTGTCAACATCTGACGTGCGCTGTCTATCAAGTTCCCCCGTATTCTACGCCAAAGTATGGCATTAACTCCCTTTATTGCTGCCGGATTCTGGCACCACTCTGGAACCGGTGGAATAGTTGTCTGCATGGTACCCATCCCTTCTCACACGCTCGATATAGGGAGCTCCTATATCGCTCCTATATCGAGCGTGTGAGAAGGGACGGGTACCAGTCAAGTGGAATAGGTAGGAGCCGTGGCGCGCTGCTGCGAGCAAATTGAATTTTGTAGATCGGATTTTACCATGCACACGTCCCGTTGGTCCGCCCATGTCCGGATTGAACGTATGAGATTGGGCGGAGAAAAGTATTTCGACTGTCAACGGCGACCGACGTCCGAGCGCCGTTTTCATGTACATTATCATATAGGTGCGAACCGTGGCGCAGTGCTGCGAGAAAAGTGAATTTTGTAAATTCGATTTGACCATGCACACGTACCGCGGTCCCGACACTTTCCAGTTGGTGCGTATATGAGATCGGCGGAAGAAAATTACCTTGACTGTCAACGGCGACTGGCGTTACGAGCGCCATTTTCATGTAGCCTACACTAGCATAGAAGAAACAGTGGCACGATGCTGCGAGCAACGTGCATAATGTACATCGGGTTTTACCATGCACGAGTGCCGTCGGCCCGCCCGTGTCCAGTTTGAACGTATGAGATCGACCGAAGAAAATTATGCTGGCTGTCAACGGCGACCGACGTCACGCGGCCATTCCTATGCACATTAGCATAGGTGGGGAAACGTGGCGTGATGCTGCGAGCAAAGTGAATTTTGTAGATTGGATTTGTCCATGCACACGTGCCGTGGGCCCTGTCCCTGTCAAGTTTGAGCGTATGAGATCGGCGGAAGAAATATAATTATCTTGGCTGTCAACGGCGACCGACGTCACGCGGCCATTCCTATGCACATTAGCATAGGTGGGGAAACGTGGCGTGATGCTGCGAGCAAAGTGAATTTTGTAGATTGGATTTGTCCATGCACACGTGCCGTGGGCCCTGTCCCTGTCAAGTTTGAGCGTATGAGATCGGCGGAAGAAATATAATTATCTTGGCTGTCAACGGCGACCGACGTTACGAGCGCTAATGCTATATGTAGGCCTACATTAGGATATAGGTGGGAAATCGTTGCGCGATGCTGAATCAGTGAATTTTGTGGATCGGATTTTACCATGCACACGTGCCATGGGCTCGCCCTGTCTAGATGAGCGTATAAAGCCCGGCGAACACGTGAGTAATTTTACTCAGTCAAATGATGCATGCGTCAAAATACTCACGTGAAATATTTTCAGCGACGGCGCACACGTGAGTAAAATTACTCAAGGTATCAGTGGTAATGTAGATCACGTGACTGTACAACATGGCGGGTACCGATAGATCGTCTGCCTCCGAAGATGAAGAAATGTTATTATTTCAACTCTAGCCGCGAGATCTTGAAATGCTTGCTCCCTTTTCTCCCTATCTTTAAAATCTGGGCTACTAACGACGTATAAGCATTCATAATCGGGCCAAAAATCCACCAATTTGAATTCCGATAAAACATCCAAGTCTATCTATACTGGGCGCAGCCATATCTTTAAAATGATTTAAACGCATCCGCTGTGAGTACCAGTGTTGAGTGAATTTGCGCAGCTAGCGCGCACACGTTGAGCATTTTGACGCGTGAGTAAAAAATTATCAAACATGTTTGATATTAAGTTTCTTGATGCACGCGTCAGAAAACTCAAGTAAAAGCACACGTGAGTATTTTGACACATGCATCATTTTACTGAGTAAAATTACTCACGTGTGCGCCGGGCTTTAGATCGGCCGAAGAAAATTATCCTATAGCTGTCCACAGCGACCGGCGACGTTACACACATTAGTATAGCAAGCGACCTAAGACAGGGCATTGCCGCCACATCGAAGTAGCGAGGCCGCGATCTGCAATGCGCACCTCCTGTAGACATAGCACCCTGCATCTTGAATGCTTAACGTCGGCTCTTCGTCATTTCTTTTGGGCGATAGGTCGCCGACATATTTGCGTCCTATCTATATACATACATAGTATAGCATATCCTATCTATATACATACATAGGCCCCCTTAGTGTAACATATCCTATTTATATACTGTGGGCGTAGATAGCGGGGGGATGGGATAGATGGGGCGTGTACAATCATCCCCCCCTACTTTCAGGAGGAAAATAGGGGATTCAAAATTTTCTGGGGGAGGACCCGCATTAACTTATATATATATATATATATATAATATATATCCAAATCATCCAACCGCCACCATGACATTTCTACTAACTTTGCTACTACTTCAAACTACCAATCGGCGTTTATGTTCTCCTGATATCATTCATAGCAACAAATTTGGGTAAGCAGTCAAGCTCCGTTTCCAACAAGCTTACTATGTTTTCTTACGATTATTATTGCTTCATCGTCTTAGTATCTTTTCAATACTGTAAGAACCTTGTCACGGTTAGTAATACATAATATAAGTATTTCAACGTTCTTTACATCAAAGATATAGAAGAATATACATACTTATCCGCATTGGCATATTAGCCGCAAATCACATATAATATCATATATATACTAATAGCATGCATAGATGACTAGTACCATGTGTGTATACCATACCCTCCGTTTCCTTTGCAAAGTGCACTGCTTATGTACGTGCAGTAGTTGAAATCCTACATAAACATAACCTCATAATATGAATTTTTGCATACAATTATTACTTCATGAATTAAAACGCTAACATTATACTTAAATGTATAGCTCTACAAACTGAGATTCGATGACGTCGCAATAACTTTATGCTTCAGTGTTGATGTGTAACTTTCTTCACAGTTTCCAATTACTCTTGGCAATATGGGCTCCTAGAGATACTGAAACCAGTAGCGTAAGCTATCATCACTGTATTGTACTATATTTTTGGCACAACATATGTTAACTTAGCAGCTTTAGCTTCAACATTATTGACACTCTACGCTGAAATGATTGTGCGTAGCAGTGTTATTGTCATAAAAAAATCTGTTAGGCGGCAGGTTTAAGCAATTTACTGCACATCAATTGTGAAAAAAAATCCTGAATTATCAACTCTAGTGATAACCATAACACCTAATACCGTGCAGAGAAAGCAAGAGCACAGGAAATGATGCAACGGAAAATAGAACAATGAGGGGTAACATGAGAGCTGATAGAAAGATATTTGTGATAACCCTGAGAGAGAAGTGGAAGCAGCCAAAAGAAACACGGAACGGGTTTACAGTATGTACACCATGTTATGGAAACTCGAGCTAAGGAAATTTGCCCTCACACAATTTGTGAATTATATGCCTACTAAACTCGGGATACAGAAACTCAATCATACGAAATTAGTAAATTATCGCTACTGAATCTGGGATAAGATACTACATACAGTACTTTTACGTAACTTCTTAAATAGAATAAACAGGTATTTCTAACATCACAGATTAGCCATAGGAGAACGTCAGCTCCTTCATCTACCTATGCAGTGCAGGGTGTGGAACTTTAATTATTTTTAGGACATGACAACTGTGCCTTTAGATTTAACCAGAAATTTCAGAGTGCCACAGAAAGTTTGAGGAGCAGAATAGTAAACATTAGTAATCACGAGTACTCACGATGTACGAAAAAGGAGGTATACATGCACAACATGGAACTAATAAGTGGGGCAAACAAGCTACACGAGCCACATAATTTCTTTTGTATTACTAGCTAATTTTAAACGCGACGTGGCAAGTGAGAACTACACCCATTGTGGCGTGTTGAAATTCCAGTCTTCTGGTGTAATCAGCAAGCAAATCGGAACCAATGAGGACGATGAGAACAGAATTAAAAAACATTGGCATAGATTATGAGGAACATATGGAACTTTGAGAAATACGCAAACGACGTTATGAAGTTTAAATTAAAGTGTCAAGCTACTACTTCTCTGCGGCTCAGAAACATTAGAGATGACAATAGCAATAATATACACCAAAATCTTTGGCAACGTGCGTGAGATATATCCTTCGGATAAGAATTGAGTTCTTGGACAGACAATGTCAGTTACATAGACCTTTGGGGGTAAACCAACCAAGTGTCAGTGAAAGAGATTTGAAGATAGAGCTTGATAAGCCACTCCTACTATTAATTCCTCGCCCGGGGAACCTTTATTCTGGAAGCCACAATGAAAAGGAAAGGGGGGAAATGAAAACCTACACAATACCTGGAGAGGAAAGATGGAGGCAGATGCCAAGAATATTGGCATAGGGTGAAATGAGCTGGACAGGAATGCGCTGGATGGGATGCCCTGCATGGAGAGGTTTCATCAATGGCCTATGTGCTCTTCTGTAAGTGGTGAGGCTACGGAAGTAATTTAAACAATGATCTGCTACAGGTCCATTTTTACATTGCCGAGTGGGATGGCTCTATCATGGAATCACTGGCTGGCAAAAATAGACAAATGTGGCATATACTCCTTATTAATACACGCAAAATGGAAACATCTATGAAATCTTACCTAGTAATTTTCTTCCAAGTCATCATCGTAGTATTCGAAAGTGTTTTCTCCCCCCACTATGGCCGCGGTCGACTGCGTTGTGTTCAATCGCTTCACACTGACTGGTATATTCGATTCCACTTTCATGATATTGAAGAAGCGCAGCACGGCAACCAGTGGTATAGGAATACAGCTGGACAGGGCAAGCAAGACCGAAAACACAACCACTGATACAGGGTAAGGCTTCTCCTCCACCATGGCCTATGAAAAACAAATGTATGAATTTTAACAAAAAATGCATTTGTAGCGACTACGTTTAGGATTAAACTGATATCAACTGATAGGATTAAGATGGCAAAAAGGTCATGTGGGTTATCACATTGGAAGAACTGATACAGTCTTACTACTTGTCTGAAAGGGATTCATTTAACAATTTCCTTGAATGGCAATTATACAGTGAGACCACCTTTAAAGACAGTCACCTGTCTATGAATCAGGAGTAGATAAAGGGATCCCTTTATCTACTCCTGCTATGAATGCATCTTTTGACATTACCCTTGAGTAACCCTTATGTACAGGTATGACCTTCAGAGAAGTACACATACCATTGTTGTATTATAGGCACTGTAGGTCATTTGGTTAAGCGATATGCTGATAATGCTTGCCACGAACACAACAACCATGATTGCGGGGCTGAAAAACCTCCATGTCATATTCCAATAGAGCCCTGGCTTTTTACCCACCATTGTTTCAAGATCATTGGAAAATCTGAAATTCAAAATGAAATAACATAGTAAAATATCTCGATTTAGAAGGACTCATTAAGAATGAATACACTATATATATTGATCGGACGGGAGTGCGCGAGGCACGCGTCTGCGTGCCTCTGTGCGAGCATATGTGGTTTGAGAAACAATATACTATTTTGCTGAACACTACTGCTTGGAGTTTGGAGTTTCAATATTCATCGCTACAACCGATCTACATTTAAACGGGTAACGTCATCTTCGTCGTTACAGTTATATCGGCCCTGTGTGCCAAATTCCATGACAATCGGGTAAAAACAGCACAAGTTACAGGTTCTACAATATTTCCACAAAAATGTTGTTACCATGGCAACGATGACTCCGCCCACACCAAAAACGATTGGCGTCTTCGCTTTACCATAACGCACCTTCATGCCAAATTTGAAGATCATCCGAGATCGGGTGAAAACTGCCCACCAGGTCACTGCGACCTTTATTTCACCTTTTCCTTGACCTTGATCATATTTCCCTTCCGCTCTCTAACTCAGCCCCGAATTGACCTAGCGCGACCAAACTTGAGGATGTGAGGATGTGAGCACGTACGGCGCGGGAAAAGGCACGTCAAAGTATTAAAAAATGGCGGCCATCTTGGATTAGGGTATTTGCATCACCTTAAACCTCACAAAAAGTACCTAAGTAGATTCCTTGGGCATTAAAACATATAATTAAACATTTAATTCATGTTTCTAGCTCGACTGGAGCCAGAGTTATGGGAAAAACCCTAAATAGGGGCAATTTTGTACGCCATCTTGGATTCTGGAAAACGCACAAGGGGGATTTCCGGGAACTTTTAGTATGTTATTCTACACATTTTTCTGAACCTATCCTGAAAAATTCAGCTTGTTTTGAAAAATGTCCGGGTTTGGCCATATTTGAGGTAAAAATCTTGGACTATTATCCTGTCAGATCGCGTCATATACTTAAAAATGAAGTCGACGCTTTACTATAGAGTGAACATAATAAATGAATTTGTAGAACTTTATATCTGTATTCCAATCCTATACAACTGACATTTTCATTTCCCAACTGAGAAATCGTATTTTTTACAAAACGGTCTATATAGGGTTGCAATCATCCAGTTTATAGCACAGGATAGCACAGGTATTATCCGCCTCAGTGACAGCACAGCTATCGTAGACGAGGTGAACATGGAAAACACATTTGAAAAACTGAGCTGGGGTGCGGCACATTGCTTATCCTGTCAGATCGCGTCATATACTTAAAAATGAAGTCGACGATTTACTATGAAATGAACATAATAAATGAATTTGTTGAACTTTATATCTGTATTCCAATCCTATACAACTGACATTTTCATTTACCAACTGAGAAATCGTGTTTTTAACAAAACGGTCTATGTAGCGTTGCAACCATCCAGTTTGGTTAAACATGTACTTTGTTAAAACAATTTTATTATAGTGTAATTCCATCTATGTATACAATTAGTGTACATATTAGATATGTAGAAGATTTGCTAAGTTAGCATTTATTAGCCAAAACGGACAAAGTGGACAATTTTGCATCCTGCATTTTTCAGCGAAATTATTTAGCAAGCATTTGAGAAGAAAACAAGAATTATCTTGCTTACATGGCTATACGAACGTCGGAATTAAACTAGCTAGCCGGTGAGAGGCATAGACCATGCACAAGAAAGGACGCAGAGGGAAATGATGCATAATTGATCAAGGCCGGATGAATGAACAATTTAATAGGCATTCTACTTAGCCTACCTACCTAGTGTGAATGTGTGTGTGTGTGTTCGTATGAGTGCCTGCAAATATAAGTCTACCGCATGTGTATGCACTCAAGTTAGCTACGTACTGCATGATAGTTATAGATAGATAGATATTTATATAACATTTTATCAGGAGTGAATAATAATACACTGTATTATTATTCACTCCTGATTTTATCATTAATGTCTTTTTCTACGCATTTATATCAGGAATACATAATAAACAGTTGATGATAAGGTGAACATTGACATGCACACAAATGTGATATCAACAACAACAACAATAATAATAATAACAATAATAATAATAACAAAACAGAAACAAACATCTGGAGGTACTTACCTTGCCTGATGACTTTATCCCCTTCATTATGCAAAAAAGAACAATAATCCAGGCTAGACATAGGCATCCAGCCATCTTCCACTGTATTCCACCAAATTCTTCAATATCCGGCGATATGTTCAATGCATCTCGGTACCAATAGTACGACGTTGCTGAGCTGATATGGCACTCGTGCACAACTGTGTTATTGTTACTACTGTCAACGGGGCACTCTGCCCATGGCAGCTGCTTTTGAAATGAGCTAAACAGGTAATACAGACACCAAGTTATGATCACGTTGTAGTAAACACCAAGGATAAATCCTAAGATGGAACTTGAGATTCCAACACCTCCTAGAAATGGATGGATTTCATTCCACACTCCTATACTGCCTTTGCGCAGCTTCTGTCCTATTCCAAGCTCGAGGTAAAAGAGTGGAAT